TTTAAAGTACTTATTTTTAAATTAAAAAGTGTAACATAAATATTCTTTTAGAAGTAAACTATTAAAGAAAGTGTACCACGTAATTGTGACGAAATGAACCATATACTTTCTATGAAAAGTCACTTATATGGGTCTAGCCCCAAATTCTATTTATTTTTTAATGAAGAAAATCTTTCTTTTTTTTTTCTTTTGACAAAATTTGCAGTAAATTAGGCGCACTTTTATTAAAATTGGGTACCAGACAATTAATATAAAGTGGGAAAATAGGCACACTGCTTATAAATAGGAATCTCTACGCCAACAAAGAGAGAAAAATATTAGATATCAGAGTGAGATATACCATAGACTATAAGAAAATAGTATATAAAAATAAATAGAGTATTAGTGATGTTTTAATGAGATGATAAAATCAAAAGAGAGATATTTCTTTTGAGTGTGAAGTAATAATGTTGAGTATTGTACTTATAGCTAAATCAAATAAAAATTTATTATTACAGTGATATCGGTTGCTTCTCTTGATCTTTGTTTTTTTCCTTATTCAAAAGGATTTTTCACCTAAAATTTTTATTTGTCATTATCTTTTTCATTTTATTCCCATTATTTTGTTGGTGAATATTTTTTAGGTTAATTCATGTAAAAAATTCAACATATGTTATTAGAATATTTGGTTGGTGTTTGGATCTTTGTATATAATCTTCCATAATCTATATAATGTTTGGTTAGATTTTGCTACTCTTTATCCCTAATATTCGTATAAATATTGAGAAAATTTATGTAAATTTCAGTTCTAGATTAAAATAATCAAAATGTCAGAACTACCCCTATCACTTTAGACTTAAAAACTTTTTTTCCCTTTTCCTAATAAATAGGGATAATGGTCTGAAAAATATCCCAACTTTGGTCGAATTTGTTGTTGTGATACTAAACTTTCGTACGGACCTATTACCTCACTAGACTATTTAATAGTGTATTTTTTACCCCTGGACTATTTAATAGTGTATTTTAAAGGTATATATGTGCCCACGTGGACACATTACTATTTATAATTTTGCATTATTTTTTATGTCCACGTGGGTAAATATATGTTTAAAATACGGTATTAAATAGTTTAGGGAGGTAATAGGTCCTCATGAAAGTTTAGTATCGCAACAACAAATTCGACCAAAGTTGGGGTATTTTTTAGACTCTTATCCCTAATAAATATGGAACTCTTTGGATTAAGATAAAGAATATATAGGAAGAAGTATTGTCTATACACTTGCTTTCTTTATCATATCAATTGATCCCTTCACTTTTATGACACTAGTTCTGTTATGAAGTGGTCTATATCATCTATCCTCGGCCAAAAATAGATTTAACCGATAAATTAAATTGAAAAGTATTTAAGTATTAATTTATTAATATCGTATTATTGAGTTAATAACTTTTACTGGTTTCACTAATTTTTTTATTTGATTATCTGTTCGATTCGGTTTTTAGATCTTAGTAAATGATTAAATCGATAATCCAAAGATTATATTTATATATCTATCTATATCTATCTTACCTTAAAAGCGTGAACTCCTAACTTGAATGTTAAATTACTATAATATCTCTAACTTAGGTTGTAATTTTTTCGATGAGTTGTGACTTTTCCAATAAGTTGTGACTTTGTTCAAAGGGTTGTGATTTTTTCGATGATTTGTGACTTTTTCAAAGGATTGTGATTTTTCGATAAGTTGTGACTTTTTCAATAAGTTGTGATTTTTTCCAAAGAGTTGTGACTTTTTCAAAGGGTTGTGACTTCTCGGAAAGGTCATAACTACCCTTTGTTGACTATATAAATAGAGGGGCTTCCTCTCATTTTTCAACCACAATTTTTTTAATCTTCTACTCTTCTTCTTCTTGCATTTTAAATTTTTTTGTTGTGATTTATTGTCGTTGAGTGAGTTCGAAGTGTAGCGGAATATGAGGTACCACTATTCTGATGAAGTATGTCATTCTATCCTAAGAGGGTATATTCCATAACCTCGAGTACTTGAGACAAATAATTTTGATGATATAATGATTATTTTTTTGCTTGATATATACATAAGTATGTAATGTTCCAATATACGAAGTTAACATGATGTAGTCTAAATTCATTTGTTTTTGTTAACAATTTCTCTTGTGATGTAGATATATGCTTCTGAATATCCTTTTCCAAAATTTAGAGAATTGTCACGATTTATTTTTGAATGACTTTATTTCTCAATGTTGCTTATGTGATTTAGAATCTCAAGAAGTTTTCTTCAAAATAGTTATTACTATATAAACATTGTC